ACCCTGTCAATATCTGGTATTAAGCACCGAAGGACATGACGTTGTGGAAGAAAAATTGTAAAATTTCTTGAAAGAGACCGTGGCTAATTTGAGGGACTATCACAGTCACTTGACTTAAGAGACTGAGGAAAACCACGAGACATGTAACACAGTTTAACCGATGTCCAAAAAGCTCAGAGCATTATTGCACCTGTAACACAGTCAGCGGTTATACTCGTGTTTAGATAATTATATCGAATTATTATCGAACCAGCGTCCTTCCGGATTTTGTTAAAGGGTTAGTTTACGACCCTGTCAATATCTGGTATTAAGCACCGAAGGACATGACGTTGTGGAAGAAAAATTGTAAAATTTCTTGAAAGAGACCGTGGCTAATTTGAGGGACTATCACAGTCACTTGACTTAAGAGACTGAGGAAAACCACGAGACATGTAACACAGTTTAACCGATGTCCAAAAAGCTCAGAGCATTATTGCACCTGTAACACAGTCAGCGGTTATACTCGTGTTTAGATAATTATGTCTTTTGATGCCGACCACAGTGGCCTCACGAACTGTCTTTGTCAGTTCGAAAATGCCGATCTTGGTTTCGAATCCAACGTGAAGCTTGCATGTCTGTGTCCGTTTATTCTGTTTGAGCTGTTTTGTGTGCAGTTAGCAGCCTTGCGACGGACTGATCACCCATCCAAGGAGTCCTACCGACTGTGTAAACAATGAAGAAACCGAAAAAGCGTCCAAAGTCCAGCAAAGGGCTGCAGAACCACAGATAAATATAAACATATCATTTCATAATTTGTAGAAGAGAAAGTCAAAAGAGCTAGCAAATGATGTCTTCTTCTCCTTCCTAAACCTTCTTTGGCGTAAAGATTAATCTGTTTTTGCGGTCACAAATATTAATGTGCTTTTCCTTAAGCAGCTGTTTCACCAACGTGTTACTTATTAAGTTCTGTAATATAGTACACCGTAAGTAGAGTGAGACGAAAATCACGTATTGCTGTACTAACGTAAGTTAAAGTATTTCATGACGCTGCTCATCTATCTATACGAGTATATGCATTCAGTTAATATGTGTGAAATGAGGTTGAGTAGGGGTAGGCATTGGAACGACGCCGAAACTCAGGTGCTTAAATGAACCGCATGATAGATGACGTTGGCAATTATCCGTGTCTATTAATCTGTGGTGACTAATGATGAGATACTATGTATATATGGTAAGCTGTATGTACACATAAACATGATATTGTTTCAGTTATATGAATAGTTCTCACAGATGTGTACATAGCTAAAATCGATTGAATACAGTTGCTTGGAGGTTTCAATACGTATTGCGTGGGTATGTGTAACAGTCTGTACTGAGCGTTTGAAGTCTGATGAACCTATAATCCGGGAAAGCGTTGACCCTATCTGGAGTGATGGTGGCAGGATAGAATATTTTGAAGAGCGTCACAAAGAAAACAGGTATAGTCCGTATCGTATAATAACTGAAACACAAGACTACATTCATGTATGTAGTGATGGGTGTTGGTCAACTTCCAATGTTCCCAAGAACTCAGACAAATTTTGCGGTCATTGTGCTCCCAAATTATCCAGTTATCTTTCATCAATCATCCTAAACTTCGACGATAAATAATGTATGGTATAGCACTGTAGAATAGCCCACGAGTTATAGAGGATTGTAAGAAAGGAGTGGCATTTAACATGTGTAGGAGAGCTGAGAGCTGATCACACTCGTCGCACGGTCTAATGCATGAAATGTCTTCAGGTCCTCAAATACTGGAATCGTGTGTTCGAATCTCACTCAAGGCATGCCTGTCTATCTGTTTTTATTCTCTGTTGTCCTGTTTAGGTAGAGGACATACGAGAGGGCTGATCAACCTTCCAAGGATTCTTAAGAACTGTCTCTAAAGTCCAGAGTATTGTAAAGGTAAAATTGTAATTGTGCTAATGTAATTAAGCACTACTCCTTAAAGGCGTACGGGGGAGCGGATGTATATATCCATCTCGGCACTACTTGAAGGAGAATAATTAGTTTCACGCCTCGGCCGCTTTACCTCTAAGGAAAGAGGCCGTGGTACTTATTGGACAGAAAGGCTGGGTGGGCCCCAGAACCACTCTGGGTGACTTGGAGAAGAAATATTCTTACCCCCACCGGAACTCGAACTCCGACCCCACTCTTTTCAGTCGCTATACAGACTGAGCTATCCCAGCATGGTAATATCTATAGTACGACATTAATTTGATGGGAATAAGCCAGAGGACCGCCGGTCACGGTAGCCGAGCGGTCTAAGGCGTGAACTGTCTTCGCTCGCTCGGAAGCCGGGATCGTGGGTTCGAATCCCACTCAGGGCATGGATGTTTGTGTGCGTTTTTCTGTGTTTGTGTACAGGTAGAAGCCTTGCGACGTATGTCGTACCGTATGTCTAAGATCTAGAAAAACCGAAATGAACGGAGAAGTTCATGGAGGTAGGCCTAGGCCCACTGGGGCTGTAGTGCCAAGGGGGAAAAAAATAAGCCAGAGGACGAAACGTGAAATGTAGAATGAGGAGAAGATGATAAATGCTGACAAAATGTATTCGTAAAACCCAAATGTGAGCGATATTTAAATATAAGTGAAACCTAACTCATAACGGGATTTATAATATTGAAATATATTAAAGGGATATCATATAAAATATGGATTGGATTCGCCTGTCTCAAAATAGGGAGGAGTGACGAACTCTTTGAGAACACGGCAACCATATAAATTTGCAATAAATGTCTTGAATATCAAAGTGACCCTTAACTTCTCAAGAACGTCTCAATTGTTTCTTACAGAGATACTGTGCAACAGGCTAGTCTCTGCATACATTAAGGAGCTGCCTTGTATACGAGTATACTCAGCTACGTGCAAAGACCAGTTGCGAAGTTAATCACGTTTCTCTAGTGAATAACAGCGATGTGTAACGTTCTGGTAACAGCATTAGAGAAGCATCAGGTTGAGTAGTGTCTACAGCCATGTTTGCTGCCTCTATGAATATTGAATTAGGCATTTGCTCCCTAAATAAGACGTGGTAAGGCAAGTGCCTTTGTGTGGGGGGGCCCTGCTGGACTATTACATTACATTAAAATCTGATATGATCGAAAAGGCTGGTCTAGCGGTTAATCATTGGACTCGTGCTTCGGAGATGCTCGGTTCGAATTTTGTTGGGACATCAGCTGTACTGATTGAGGTTATCCGTGGTTCACCTCAGACCTTGTGCCTGGATAATGCATCGGTTGAGATATGTAAATTTCTTCCATAAATTATTTCTGTTGCAATATCCATTAAGTAAGCTGCAATTTTAAGCTCATAAATTTTAACTTCGTAAAGTTATTCGTAAAGAAATTGATGATAGTGGCGGCATTTCTTCTGTACTTCACTTCGCAATTCGCAAAATGTTACTACACTTAACGAGTGTTCTAATTTATGTTCCCCAGTCTTAAATCCTCTGCTCTGGTACAAAAGCCCCATTCATAGAAATCGACAAGACTAGGTAGAATACTGCATATTCTTGTTAATGCTCATCTCTCGTGTTATGCTGCAGTAAATACAGTTTATTTTATACGTTATTTGTGTTCGAGGCTGCTAGGCAAGTGACACCACCCCCCAAAATGTAGTATCTCAAATTCGTAACATACCTCTACATATTCGAAAACGGGTAGCGGAAAAAAGAATAGCTCGCAGAAGATGGCAACAAGCGAGAAACCCATCAGACAAGAAAATTCTCAATGGACTCACCCATCAACTGCACACCACAATACAATCAGCCCGTAACGACACCTTCAGACATTATATATCAAAGTTAACTCCTGAAGATCACTCACTGCGGAAGGCAACGAGGAAGTTTCAAAGGCCTATCATCGCAACATCACCACTTAGAATCTTGAATAGAACCTGGGCAAGAACCGACCAAGGAAAAAGTGAATATCTTTGCAGATCACCTAGCAAAAATCTTCTCACCTGCAAAAGATGATAACATCGATCGAGCAAAATTCCTAAAATTCCTGGACGTTCCTTGTCAACTCTCCCTACCCACATGGCCCTTTTCTCCAGCTGAAATCCATCGTGAACTCCTTAAAACGCATTCCCACAAAGCTCCGGGATTCGACCTACTAGTAGGTGTCATAACTAAACACCTTCCCACAAAAGCAACAGTACTCCTTACAACGATATACAGCAGTATGTTAAGACTCTGTTACTGACCCATACATTGGAAGTTCGCACAAGTAATTATGATTGCTAAGCCCGGTAAACCACCAACAGAAGCTTCTTCCTATCGGCCAATCAGTCTTTTACCTATGATGTCCAAGACTTTCGAAAGATTACTGTTAAACAGAATAAAACAAATGAGAGCAACAAAAGACAGCATCTCCCAATGCCAGTTAGGATTCAGACATCACGACTCAACAACTTAGCAGTGTCATCGATTGGTTAACAAAATAAAAGAACCCCTGGAGGACAAGAAAATGTGTGCATCTGTATGCTTAGATATCCAACAAGCCTTTGATAAAGTATGGCACCAGGGATTACTATACAAATTAAAAAAATATCTTGCCTTGTCAAATCTACCTGTTGATAAAATCTTACTTAACTGACGGCCATTTTCAAGTCAAAATTGGAAATACAAACTCTGACTACCACCCCATCAATTTGGGGGTTCCACAGGGTAGTGTTCTTGGCCTAATCTATACATCTGACATACCCCAAGCACACGACATAACATTGGCTATATTTGCAGATGACATTGCAATTCTGTCCTCTCATAAGAACCCTATTAGGGCAGAAAAAAATATACAGCAATATCTCAATGCCCTCCAAGATTGGCTATAACTCTGGAAAATCACAGTGAATGTCGAAAAATCAGTGCGAATAACATGCACCACAAAATGGGGCACGTGCCCACAAATCACAATAAACAATGAACCAATCCTTATACAACCTACAGTCAAATATCTTGGACTTCACCTTGATCAAAAGCTCACATGGAAGACCCATATCCGGGCCAAGAGATTACAACTATTAACAAAAGTGAGAAACATGAGCTGGTTAATTGGTAATAATCCCAGCTATCATTGGAAAATAAACTTCTCATTTACAAAACTATACTCACACCGATATGGACGTATGGTATAGAACTGTGGGGCTGTAGTAAAAACCCCAACACCAAAATCCTACAAACATTCCAGTCAAAACACTACGTTACATAACGCTCCATGGTTCGTATCAAATCAAACTCTCCACGAAGATCTTGGAGTTCCTTATATAAATGAGGTCATAAACAAACAAGCCAACAAATACAGAAACCGCATTGTGGACCATGAAAGCCAGCTAATGAAAGAACTCGCCGTCCAACTCTTAGTGAACAGAAGACTCAAACGTCAATGGCCAGGAGACCTATTCTAGGTAACGGAGGATAACCCATCAGTGGATGGTACTCCCTACAAGCCACGCAACGCCCTAACATTTTTACTCTGTATTAGTACATTATGAGTAGATTGTGAATATCCTAAAATAAATAAATAAATTTGTATTCTTACCTTGAACAGGTTAAGGAGAATAAGATTGGTGGGGAGTGTAGCAGGTATATGAGAGATGATAAATATTTACAAAATTTTCAACGTAAAAACGGAGGAAAAATCTCTTAAGAACTAGACATATGTGTTAGAGGCATGTAGAAATATTCCAACATTTCTGAGGGACCTGTTTCTTCCTAATTCTACCGTGAAGAAGGAGACAGCATGTTATTCCGGAACTTTCATGTATATCTACCAGACTACGCAGCGTGACATTCTACAAGCCAATAACCTTCATTTATGCCTACACTGAGACAAGTAAATCTCATAAAATAATGACTAGCATTGCACAACATAAAATTTATTCCAAAATAAAAAGGTTACTAAAAGTCAAAGACATTTTCTACCTTTAATGAGACCTTGATCGGACTCAAGGAAAGCCAAATAACAGGTCATATTTACGGGAAATGTAAGAAGTTTCACAGAATTGCAATGCATATTCATGGCATTTATATAACCCCATTTTCAGTTTACTGAAATCATCCAAGTTTTTAGAATTTATGTTCTGTATTGCTCGTGCCAAAACTTTTCCAGGGGAATTTCACAAAAGTTTTAATAGTTACTTCTTTTCGGAAAAAGTTCTACTGCAAAATTTTAATTGGATTCCGTCTTGTGATGTTTGGCATGTCGTTTACGTATCGATAAGAATAATAGTGTACGTTAAGAGACGATAATTCCCAGTAAAATTTACAACGGTTGTCGAAGAATATTGTCACGTCTTATGGGCGTGACTAATAATAACGAGTAAGATTTGAGGCTTTCACGGCGGTGACTATGAAGAAAGCAGTCTTCTGGGATTTGGCACCGTGTATATGTGGTGTTAACCGACGTTTCGGAGGAACGTATCGCCTCCATCTTCAGGGTAGAAGAAAAAATATNTACACGGTGCCAAATCCCAGAAGACTGCTTTCTTCAATAATAACGAGGTTTGAATTGGATTATTGGATTTATTGATCATTCCTTTACAACCACTCATAATCACAATCAATTAAAGTAACTCATAATAAATGACTCTCTAGGACTCGCTCCATTCTGATCTGAACCCCCTCTGTCTTCTCCTGATTTCAGAGACAGAGTTACTTTACGACTGGCGGCTTACTGCCAATCAGTTTATCTTGGAGACAAGCCCCTTGAGTCCAGGAACAGAACTTTTTTTTTCCAACTGAACCCTTGCAATCAGGCCTTATGTAACATTCTCTCTGACGAGAGGATGGGTCTGTCGTTTACAATTGCCGCTGGTACTCGCCAGCGCATTCATTCTCAGATCCGAGTCTCACGGGGCTCATGACCGTTCTTTAATATCTCAGCTTCGAGACTCCCCCAACCTGGAGGGTCAGGTCCCCTTATTTATACCCCCCAGGAACAGAATGGCCTGATTATATCCCCAGGCACTGGGTCCCCTTTTCGTCGCCTCCTACGACTCGCAGGGATACGGTGAAGGTATTCGAACACGCCATCACATGGGGTTCTGGCCGGCCTGGGTCGGACCGACATAAAACCTTTCATTTCCATATCCAAGAAGACGTTCGTTGATCATCTTTGCCATGTATCTATGGACACGTCTGCTTATTGCACAGCGACAGGCTGCTTTCCAAGAATTTACTTCCACGGAAACGTGTTTGCCGACTATTTCCCTAGTAATAGTTCTACATGTCACAATATAATTAAAATTTTAACACTTGTTACATTTAATATACAGTTCATTATTTAAATAGTTTAAGTATATTNGGCTGGCGGTGAGGAAATATAGCCCGAAACTCACGACACGCATTTAGAATCTCAAATAAGTGACAGGAAATATAGCTGTATCTCTAATGAGATCCTAACGGCTTTGACTATAAGTCTCAGTCTGGTTACTTTGTTGAAGGTACAGCCAATAGCCGTCGCCATGGCTCAGAAGAGTGTACGGCTTGTTATTTCCACGTATTTCCTCACTCCACCTTTTTGACGAAAGCAAAGGAGGCCCATTAGAGGCAAGATTGTATATTTTCATAATGACGATTTTTCTTTCAAAGTAAATGTGTTAACTGTGCAGGTTGCGAGTGGACAAAACTGGAGGCGCCTGGTGCCCGAAGCAGCAGGTGGAGCGGGGGGTGCGTGAATACCTTCAGGTTGACCTGGGTGACGTGTATGTCCTCACTGGCGTGGAGACGCAAGGACGTTATGACCGTGGAAGGGGCCAAGAGTATGCCGAAGAGTACATGATAGAATACTGGCGTCCAGGACTGGACGAATGGAAGCAATACAGCCGCTGGGATGGAAAACAGGTGAGTGCACGTACTAAGATTATTTGTGGTATGTAGATCCTTTGCTAGGCAACGACTGCGAAATAAGCACATATACAAAGCCGTTGTAAGGTAACGACTCCGTCAACAGATACGAAAGCAACAGTTCCACGATAATTGTTGCACTGCAAAAGAGGAATGGTGTTAGATACTCGGTCCGTACCGAGATGTTTTAAGCATATCAAGTGAAGAGTCATTCCAGTCTTTATGAGCTGTTGTTGTTAGAAGCTGTTAGCTGAGGCACGGAGATAATTAAGGAACCAAAAGTTCCGCCGTTGAAAGCCGTTACCAGGCGACAACCGGTGGAGATACAGCAGACTGAGAAGACTTAAGTGTGTGCTGTAGTGAACTGCAGAGCGTGTGAATTAACGATAACGCTGTAGTTACTTGTAGTTACGATTTATAAGAGTTCAATTAGTCCAATTACCGATCCAAAACTCTCTATTGTCACTCACGCTCGTGTCAATATATTTAGCATTTTGTCCGGTGTTCATTCGCCGTGGTGAAATTCGAAAATATTGACTGGAATTGTCTTCCGTAAACGTTACCTACACAGCTCTTGCGTAAGGTTGTTTACAGGAGGTACGTCAAGGCCTCGTTCATGCAGTGTAGACCTGTAATATAAAAATTGTTTGTCAAAGAAGTGAGCCATGAAAATAAAGACGGGATTCATATCTGACATTTAGATTAGATTAGATGCCGTGTAGTCTGGTAGATCGTTACTTAAGCAGCATCTTCACAGTGGTTTACTATGCAAGATTTGAGGTTCTCACGGCGTATAAGAGTTGATTTCTTTCTGGATGTGACACTGTGCAGTTCTGTAAATCGTGATCTAGGAAAAGCTCCCCTTAGATGTTTACTATCCTAGATTGAAGGTTCTCACAGCTATGACAGTGAAGATTCCTGCCTTTTGAGACGTAATTCCATTGATTCTACTAATGACCTTGGAGTGTATTCGATGTTTATTCTGGGATGTGACGCCGTGTATTTTCTTGGTAATATTCTAGATTAGCTTCTGTAAAGACGTTTACTATTTATATGAGATTTGAAGTTCTTAATGAGAAGTACACGGTATCATAACCCAGAATATATTCATCTGAATTCTTGTGGATCAGGATAAGGGCTGTTGGTGGGCTCTTGTGAACACGGTAGTGAAACTTCGGGCTCCATAAATGGAGTAGAATTCCTTGGCTATATGAAGAGCTAGTACCTTTCCAGTGATTTCGTTTCAGTGGATTTAATGAGTATCCATTAATTCCTTGTTACTATTCTTCTCAAAATCTCTCGTGTTTGTGTGACGTAAGGACTCTGTCAGAAGCGTCGAATGGTAGGATAACTGATGAATTATGAACTTAGAAGGATTTGGAATGAAACGTTCATAGCATCATCTAGGTTCTATCCCGGGTCCCCACCTCGGCGGCCCGGTTTCAAGCTTAGGACTGGTTATGTTGGATTTGTGATGGAAAAAGTGGAGCTGGAAAAGATTTCCTCAGAGTATTTCGGTTTCCCTTGCAAATTTTCATTCCATCGATTGCTTCACACACATCGTCATCTGTCATCCGGGGCTGGTAAAATAGACCAAATACTGTGGCTGACGTACCGAGTGTACTCAGCCTCACCTCACCCCAATAAACCAGGAGGGGCTTAGAAAGCCCACAAAAACCTAGACCAAGACTCGAATCCAGTTCCTCCCGAATACGAGTCTAGACCGTTTCCGATACACTAACCCGCTCGGTATACACGGGATATGAAACATGCGGATGGTAATTAATGATATTCATGGCATAACCATTACTCAAATTATGTGTGAACTTACATTACATGTGAAGTAAATTATAATCCTATATTACACACTCAGTGTGTTTCTGGACATTATCCATCCTGTTATTGTTTAAAACACAACGTTTCGGAGACTGGATTTTGTCTCGGTCTTCAAACAGAAACCTACTTTATCTATCTATCTATCTATCTATCTATCTATCTATCTATCTATCTATCTATCTATCTGTCTGTCTGTCTGTCTGTCTGTCTATCTATCTTATCTATCTATGTATCTATCTTATCTATCTATCCTATCTATTTATCTATCTCTATCTATCTATCCAAATCTATCTATCTATCTATCTATCTATCTATCTATCTATATCTGTCTATCTATCTATCTATCCAAATCTGTCTATCTGTATAACTATATATCTGTCTGTCTATCTATCTATCTGTTTGCCTGTCTGTCTGTGGCTCTACAGCCATGTTTTATGCCTTGCCTGCTTTTACAGTTTCTTAATTCTATACACAGTAGTAGGACTCCTTGGACGGGGGATCAGCCTGTCGCAAGGCCACTACCTACACACAGAACAACACAAACGGAAAATAAACGCACACAGACATCCATACTTCGAGCGGAATTCGAACCCAATATCCTGTCGTTCAAGCGAGTGAAAACATTTCCTGCTTTAGACGCCGCGGCCACTGTGATCTGCCCCCAAATCCTATTCAGTTGAGCTCAATCGATAGAGCTAGTCCTTATAAAACTAACAAAATACAGTAATTGTATGAATATACCATCGTCACAGACTTTTAGATCTTTATTCCACGTTGATTTATGAACTCGGGTACATATCTTGCACTCTCCAGCGCTCAGTTTCCCAGTGAACGCACAGTAATTAGTGAAGCGGGCATATGAAGGGTTGAAGGAAGTAGGAGTAATGGCACAGATATGAGGAGGTGTTCTGTGGCGGGGAACAGAAGGAAGAAGCGAAGGGAGCGCCTAATGGGAGATGATGGGAGACTCCTACATGAGACCGCGAAATGTCGCTATGCACACTGACCATCAGAACACGAGCAACTGACGTTCCCGCGTATATCCAACTCACATACACACGCGTGTCGAGCCGCTGCCATTAACAGCTCCTCACTCACTCCGACAAAGTTAACACTCACTCACCACTCTCTCCGTCTCTCCTTCATCTGACCCATAAGGGTTTCCGCTAGACCATTATACTCCACTTTGTAAGTGACCAACCGATTAATTGGTCAGTAATTTTGTTTCGCTATTATCTTATTTCATTCCATCTATTATACAAGGATACCTTCAGAATAAGAAGAAATATCCTATGATGTCCTCCTCTGTGTGAAATATTGAGTCCATGAAGATGGGTTAGGAGCGGTAATTGCATATATTGAACAATTATAACTCGTAACAACAAGTAACTCAAAAGCTGTTACTAGTTTGTACACTTTTAACATTCTACTGCAAACATTAAGTTTTCTACGTCTTCAGGAGGCGTTGTTAGGTAACGGTTGACAATAACACAGATTCTTGTGCTTCCGTACTCCCGATCTCGATGGATGGCGGCTGGCTTACATTTTTCTAACTCTCAACAGTAACAAGCCAAAATTATATTATGACCGACGGTCAGCCGGCCAGTCTGTCCTGGTGTCAAGCCCCTATCTGGGGCCCAAGAACAGATTTTTATTAGTGTCAGATATTTGTGGGTGTGTTGATGTGCGGCGCCCTGTCTGACGAGAGGACGCGTCTGCCGTTTACAATTGCTGTTGACTCTCGCCATCGGAGTAATTCTTGAGTCCGAGTCCCGAGGGACTCATGATATATTTTACTGTCTCAAATTCGAGACTTTCCCCAATCAGAATGGCTAGATTCTCATATTTATATCTTCCAGGAACAAGGTGGCTCTACAGCGAGCCGTTACTTAGCAGCGGAAGATTTCAGTCATTATGTAGCAATATTCTGGGATATGACACCGTACACTCTATCGGATATTTATCAAAATTCCAGATGAACTTGCTTCCTGCATCGTCCTTGACGACTCCATGCCAAAGCCTCAGGTAACCTCGACTTTCTGCTTTCCTCTTATGCTCTCTCTCTCTCCCCCCCCCCTCTCAACTGGACTCCATAGCGTCAAGTGGAGGATGAAAGATGAAATATGAATTTGGAAATTATTTGGAAGAAAGAAATCATAGCATAAATCAAGATACTGTCTCGGTACATTCATGAAGGGACTGAGAAAACCACAATAAACCAGTCAAAATATCCCATATCCCAGCCGAATAGAAGTTCAGAGCGTCAGCACGACACCAGTCCATTCGGTTATTGTGAACTTCAGTCTTCACTTGTTGCCAGAATGCTGCCCGCAATTCAGCATTTAACAGAAAGTTCCTGCGAGATGTAATTTCGGCGCAGGTTTTCTTGGTTACCCTTTGTTTTCAGCAAATGCTGAGATGATTGCGAAATTCCAAGTTGATATTCTGTGCTTCTCATGAAACTCTCCCGATTAAGTATAAAATCTCTTGTCTTGAATGCCCCCCAAATTAATTTTCTAAGTTGTGAAACTCTCAATTAATTATAAAATCAAGATACCGTGGCCCTTGTCTACAGATGTTCACAAAACTTATTATGTGACGTGAATTAACAAATTATTTTCGTAAACATGCCGAGGCACGATTACATCACTTAGTAAAATGACGCACCGGGGCCGCGCCATTCGGTAAAACTCTCCTATCAGGCTACAAAGAAATGAGCGAAGTGTGACAGCAATAATTCCAATTTTGTTTTCTTGTAAGCCAGTATGTTCTCTCGCGGTCGAAGGACCTAAGTGTTTGATCAGTAATCATAACTGCACCACATTCTGTTTCAAATGTATTGCATTTCTTAACTAATTTGGTCGATATTTGTAAAATTATTTTATTTAGTTTAATAACTGAACCAGATGGTCTTATTTCCTGTCTGTAGCTACAATCCGCAGTATTTTAATACGAAAAAAGAGTCAATAAATAGGTCACAAATGGAAGTAAAACAGCTGCAATAGACGTAATAGTTTTGTGTGTGTATCACTAGGTAGCAGCACAGTCCAGCCTCATGACAATATATGTAGCAGACGCTTATGAGCATGTTCAGAGGCTGGTTTCAGTAGTAAACATGGCGACCTGCTTGAGGGTATACTACCGAAGAGAAGCGTTCTCTT